GGCTCAGCGGGCCGCCGACGGGCTCAGCGCTCTCGGCACCCTCCAGCGCCCTCGGCACCCTCCAGCGCCCTCGGCACCCTTCATTTTAATATTTTATATAATGCCATATTCCAGGGGTCCCCAACCTATGGGCTGCAGCCCAGTACCGGGCCGCAGGCTGTTGGCCAGCAGGCTGAGGAAATGGCTGGCCAGGGTGTGCACTTGTGGGTGTGCATTCCCCCCATTCGTGCCAGTGCCTGCGGCCCCATTTGCACATGTGTGTGTGCGTGAACAGGGATGCTAGCACGGGGGGCATGCATGCCCTGTTTGCACATGTGTGAACAGACCACCAGCACAGAGTGTGTGTGTGCAGCCCGTTTGCACATGTGCATGGCACCAGCGCATGCCACATGCACAAACAGGGCTGCTAGTACTGTGCCAGTGGGCGTGACCCTGTTTGTGTGTGTGCATGCATGCAATAATTTGGAAGGGGGATAGTAGCCCAGAAAGGTTGGAGAACTCTGCCATATTCCATACAAATCCAGGGCTAACAATTTAAACAATAGTGTAATCATTAAGATGCTAACCTAGAAACCAGAACATTGTGAGAACCTGTGTTAGACATGAAAGCCAGCTGGGTAACCTTAAACAGTCACTTTCTGTTAGCCCAATTAACTTCACAGATTTGTTGTTGTGGAGAAAATAGAGGAAGGAATATTGGGCATGTTTGCTAACTACAGTTATTTATAAAAATAACAAATATGAGATTTTTAAAAAATCTGAAATTTTTTTTGGGAATCATTTATTTGAAACAACTTCACACAGCATATTCCACCAAGAAGAATATGGTCAATTAAATTGGAATGGAATTTTTTTTCCCCCAAGAACCCATATGGAAGATCTTAGCCATCTGAGAGTTGTTTATCTACTCTATAATTAATGAAATCACTGGTATTTATTTATTTTCTTGCAGCCAGTAACAATTCAAGTTGAAAATACAAACAGATGAACTCTCTATCCACTAATGCTGAAGCTACAATGAGAAATTCAGAGTTGTGGGCAATAGAAGTTTATAACTAATTTTGAATCTGGTGTGGACAACATTGCAGCAGTTTGTATGACTAAAGATGAAGCTGTATAACTGTGGCATGTTTAAGCATGATAAATTTCAGTGGCTGCTATTGCTGCTGTTGCAACTGCTGCTACCTCCTCTTACACATGAAAATGTAAGAAAAGAATGTAGTCTTTCAATAAGTATCCAAGACAACTTGTACCGACCAGGAGAAGTGATAATCGGGGGCATACTCTCTCTAGTCCAGTCTGCAGTTTATTTCCACAACTTTATCGAAACTCCAAACAGGATATATAATATTTTTAGGTAAATTATCTTTTAAATTGTATTAGCCATAAAACTATGTTAAACAATTTAAATAATAATAAATTTACTAGGTTTGCATGTGAATTAAGGTTATGCACGAAGTATCCAGCTGCTTTAAAAATCTGAGGTTCCCAAAAACTTTATCAATGATATGCCTAGGGATAACTCATTCTCAATTGTTCCTAGCCCATACATGCAGCTGTGATACTTCAGGATATTTTTTTAACTTCCCTTCATAAACATCTTTCTCTTTTTAATTAAGTATTTTACATACACACGCACACACACACTCACACAAATTATTATATAAATTATTTGTTAAATAAATTAAGAAAGCGACCAGAAGCCAGGCTCTGTGATGCAGCCCAACAACTTTGTCTTTCTTTCCTCTTACAAATCCATAACAAGGTTCATTATTGAAACTGAGTTGGCATTTTTCCAGTGTTCATATGAGCATCTTCTGCAAAGCTCTAGGCTGTTTTCTGTACATTTATCTATCCATAATTCTACATAACATAGCATAACATAGTACCTTAATTCCGGAATGATACTTAAACTAATGTCTGGAGTCTTCCTATAATTTTAAATCATAACAGGTTTTTAGTTTTCATGTAGCGCATATGCTAGACTTCTCTGAATTATCCCACAATATTAATTTATCCAGATGCAGTATTTCAATATTTGAATCTATAATGAATAAATTTTGAATGTTTTATATCTATAATTTTCTTATTTATCCTATTATTTTTAATATCCTCTGAACATATCATTCAGCAGGCAGAAAAATAAAAAAGTGAAAATTTATTATCATTATACATAATTTTAAATAAAAATATTTTAACTTATTATACTGATGCAGTTTTAAACCCAAGGACAAACTCTTAGCATAAAGTATTTACAATTAGGTCTCTCAAAAATATATTTTCTCCTAGACATTGGAATAGATTTCTGCTCTCTGATACTTTCTCAGGATTTAAGGATTGTGGTTCCCCAAAGAACACTGGTATGTTGCTAGGAATTTTGGGAGTTATGGGTTGAAAATTTCAGACGGCTGCCAGATAAAGTATCAAGGAGTAAAGCAACTCTATTCCAGTAAGCAGAACTGTGAATATCTCTCTTTTCCTGGAAGGAAAAGCAATAATTCCATCTGTAAGTTAGAAGCAATTATATACTTATCCTGCTGACATTTTTTGATTCTCGATATCAATGTTTTTTTCAGTATAAAGATGAAACATTATCAACATATCCTTGCCATGATTTTTGCAATTGATGAAATCAATAAGAACTCAGAACTCTTGCCCAATACCACTCTGGGTGTTCATATTTATGACAACTTCTTTGACTCAAAGACAACTTATGAGACCATTTTGGACCTATTGTTCCCAAAGAAAAATAATTCACCCAATTACAAATGTGACAGGAAACATCTATTATCTGTTATTGGGGGCTTCACTATTGAAAAAATAATCCAGATGACCACCATATTAAGTATCTACAAGATTCCACAGGTGTGTGTTTGTGTCTGGAGTAATAAGTCATTTATAAAAATGGACAAGCCAGTCATAATATAATTACATTTTCCTTCATTAAATTAGATTATATTTTTGAATTGCTCAACTCTTTAAAAGACCAAATACAAATATTATTTTGTGGCTGAGAGACATGTCAACTATTTCATGAATAATGTGTACTCTTGATGGAGTCTTTTATATACTTTTATACTGATGGATCAGAAGTCTCACTACTGGTATTATAATCTAGAATGTCCTCTGTGTTTTGATTTTGTTTATGTGCAATTTGGAAGAGATTTGGCTACATATTTTTGCATGTTTCCAGGATTTTAATTCTTAGAATAATTGAAACTGCAATCCTCCACAGTTATTTAAGAATAATTTTCATTGTTCTCTGGCATTTAGTTCTGGATAAATATGTATAGATGAGTCTTTTTTGACATATTTTACTCTAACATTATCTGATAATGTTGATTTTATGTTTATATATATTGCATCTATTCTTATTTAAGTTTACAATTTTAATTTTACATTTTATTATGTTTTAAAATCAAGCCTTATATTTTTATGCAAACAATCTGGAAGTTTTGCAGTTTCCACAGAAGTAGCTGAACCACAAGAAAATCTAATTCATTCTAAAATTCATGTTAAACAATTAACATAGTAGTACAGTTTAAAATTTGGACCTGCTTCTACCTTGCTCTCTGAAATCCTACAAAACATTGAACTAAGTAATTCTTTCAATTAAATTATAATAGAAATAAGAACAAGAATAATTTGCCTATCCAATCAATTACTTTATTTACAATGTATTTACAATGTATACTGAAATCATTTGAAAAAGAAAGTTGAATTTTAACAGAATGTTCATTTCTAACATTTGACTTAGTTTTTTTCTTGTCTGTATTCTTCTTTTTCTTGTTTTTGTTTAATTCCTTATATCTTTCTCTTTTACACAATATTTCTGTATTTTATCTGTTTTTAGTTTGCATTAGTTTTTACTATTGTAAGTATAAAACATAATGTAGCTAATAGATTACTTTTATAAAGCTGTATTTTATTTAGACAGCAATGAATATTTGAAGCACATGAGATTTATTTTGAATTATATGTGCTGCTTTATGCTATTCTGTATTGGACTGTGATTTACTATTTGTTGTGTTTTATTTTATATTATAACCTATCTTATGCAGCACCTGATGGAAATGTTTTTAATAAACAAATATTTCAAAATTCACATTTAACTATAATAGAGTTTGGTACCACTGCATATCACTTGAGAGACATTATTTCCCCAGCTCAAAATAGGAGTTTCTTTTCTCCATTAGCTTACTTATGGTGAATATCAGCCTGAATCAAGCAGTAAAACAGATTTCACATCTTTATACTGGATGGTACCTAGAGAATCTATTTTGTTTAGAGGGATAATCCAGTTACTTCTACATTTCCAATGGAAATGGATTGGACTTATTGTTTCTGATGATGATGAGGATGGACAAAACTTTGTGCAAAAACTGACACCCATGCTGGCTTTTAATAATATATGCCTTGCCTTCCTGAAAAGAGTTAGAGCAAAAAAGGATCTTCATGATTTTGACATAATTGAAAATAGTTTAGAATTAATGATAATTTACTCAACAGATGCCAAAGTAATTATTCTCAGCATGGGCACAGATTTAATAAATATCTTAACAGACCACTTAGAAGAAATTGAATTAACATTGAAAATACTTTTAGGAAGAATTTGGATCATGCCAATCCATTGGTATTTCACTATCACATTTAAAAATGAATTGCACGGCAGAAATATTTTCCATGGTTCCTTCTCTTTCTCACTTCAAACAAACACAGTGCCTGGATTTAAGGACTTCCTTGAGAATGTGAATATAGATGAGACACTACATCCCTTCTTCTGTATCTTCCGGAAATATGTTTTTGACACATGTGAAAAGAGTGCAGAAAAAGAGATATTGGAACAGCTCCTTGCATATGTATTTGACAGAGATATGCTTAGTGAAAGCTACACTATCTATAACACTGTTTATAGTATTGCACATGCTTTACATGCCATATATCTTTCCAGACAAAGAACCTTCTATGGTAAATTTCAACACAAGCATTTGAATGTTCGGCCATGGCAGGTAAAGTGTGAAAATGTTTGTCCGTGTATTCAATTTTTTTATTCATATGACCTTAAAGTATGAGAGGCAGTCTAAAGGTTTTCTCAAGCATTTCAGACAGAGACAGAGAGAGGGAGGAGAAAGAGAGAAAGTCAGAGAGACACATAGAGAGAAGCTGTACAATTGTTTTGAGCAGTTAGGAAAATGTGGACATTCCCAAAAGATTGGTGAATCAGTATGAAAACATGTCTGGATCACTCTGTAGGATTGGTGAGTTGAGGCTATTTTTTCCCCCAAATCAGCCATACTGTAGAAGAAACTGCTTCAAACTATTTAATAAATGTAACTTGACTTAATATATCAGAATGAATGCAGTACAGAGCAGATATTCTGATTCTTAAAATAATATCCTCTGTCTGGAAATTCTTCCAGAGCCTTTCTCAGAAAACTTCAAAAAGTTATTCAAGAGCAAGCAAAGATAGTGGATATAGCAATGGAAATTGGTCCTACAGAGGACTGGTCCTAGGATAAAAAAATACACATACTTTCAGTCATGGTAGGGAAGAAAAAATATCTCAGTGATATAAAGCATTCAGTGACAAATTTATGTTGCATTTATATACATGACTAATGATGAGATTTGGAGATTTTGGATAATCAGTAATTATAATGGTAGCTGAGGGTTTTATTTAATTGATAAATGGAATAAAACCACACTTTCCTAGAATAAGATCATCTTCTCTTACTTAAAAACACCCATAATTTTTGATAGTAAGATGGACAGCATATACATTTAATGCATACGTATATACATATTTAAAGAACTATCACCCAATAAGCCTTCTTTCAGTAATGTATAAGGTTTTCACCAACATAATAGCAAAAAGAGTATTGAGAACATTAAATAATTCACAGCCAAAGGAACAGACAGGGTTAAGAAGTGGTTATAGCACAATGAAACACATCCAGGTTGTTCAGCAAAGGCACAATGAGTATGCAATGCATGGCTTCCATTGACTACAAAAAGGTATATGACTCAGTATTCCAGCAAGCAATAATAAGTGCACTGATTATCCAAAGTGCAGGCACTGCTTACATAAACTTACTACAATCAATATATAAAAAAACAATGGCAACAATTTGCCTTAATGATCTTAAAGTGGAAATCAATATAAAATGAGGTGTATGATAAGGTGATACAATATCACCTACCCTTTTCTCAACCTGCCTTGAAGAAGTATTTCACAAACTAGATTGAGCAAAAGATGAAATAAAAATCAATGATGCCTATTTAAATCACTTAATATTTGCAGATTACATTGTTCTATTCTCACAAGACCCAGAAGAATTATAAGAGCTGCACATACAAAGCAGCACAAAACAGGATAACCATTTGGCTTAAAAATAAACCTAAAAAAGAGCCAGGTTATGTTTAATAAATTCCCCAAAGAAAGAAAGAAAAATATATCTGGAGAAGAACTAGACATAGTAGACCACTATATGTACTTTGGCCAACAGATCTCAATGGAAGATGATACAATAAAGGAAATTGGTCGGTGTGTTAAATATGGTGGGCAGGCATTTGGCAAGCTAAGCATAATTTTCAAGAACAACCTCTCCCTATGCCTGCTCTGACATATGCCAGTGAAACAAGGACATGATTTTCACAATCAGTAAAAAAAAAATATGAGTGGTGCAAAGAGCTATGGAAAGATAAATGCTCAGCATCACAAGATAAAAAGACCTGAACAAAATAATTGAAATGGAAATGAGCTGGTTGCATAGCAAGAAGCATTGTTGGCAGATGGACTAGGGCAGTTATAGAATGGATTCCACTTGATAAAAAGTGTCTCCAAAAGAGACAAGATGGATCAATAATATCAGCATTTATTGTAGCCCAATTGGGAAAAAAAACCTCAAGTCTGTATTGGTTGAAAATATGTGGAAAAGGTCTTCATCTTGCAGTGGATAAACAATGTATACAATTTTAAATACTTGAATCCCAGGCGTAAACATTTAGAAAATCAATAAAGCTACTGAACTCTGGGATATTAAAGAGCCTTTTTAATTACTGAGTTTTCGTCAACCTCCTGTTGACATCATCAAAGTAAGGGCTAAAGTTGGGAACAACTTACATATATACCTGTGTGACAGTTTAATGGTCAGGTCATAGAATGTGTAATCAGCCTGCCCTCCCCCTGCTCTCCTGCATGCAGCCGTACTAGTTCCGGATCAGCCGTACAAGCTGGCTTCTGTTTAGATCTTAACATCTTTCCTCCCCCCAGCTGTTCCATGCATGTATCCTGTCATTCAGTGTCATTGCTGGGCCATCATTCATGCCATCTCACTCAATCGTGACATTGGTCTGCCGCTTAGGCACATTAGTTGTCAAAGTCCTCACAGAGTGTGCAATCGGCTTGCCTGCCCCCTGCTCTCCCGTGTTCGGCTGCACCAACTCCGGCTCTGCCATATAAGTCGGCCCTCATTGCAAGGAGAGATTATCAAGATTGCAATGAGGGCTGGCTTATATGGCAGAGCCGGAGATGGTGCAGCTGAACACAGGAGAGCGGGGGGCAGGCAAGCCGATTGCACATAAAAAATATTCTAGAATTCTGGAAGTGATCATCAACAATTGGTATTCTGGAAGTGATCATCAACAATTAATTCAGAGAGATGCTAACTTGTCACATTAGAAATTTCCTAGGGAAATTAAGAAACCATTAAACAATTATGTTAGAATAAAGGATTTGTTCACTTATTTTCCTACTATTTTAGCTCCAAAGTTTACTGAGAAATATCAAATTCAACAATAGCGCTGGTCATGAAATCTCATTTGCCCATGGAGAATTCTTTGCTAACTTGGATCTCATCAACTGGGTCACTTTCCCTAATCAAACATACTCTAAAGTCAGAGTGGGAAAGCTTTCACCAACACAAGAATTCACTTTCTCTGAAAATACTATTCAATGGAATACCAGATTAAAGCAGGTAAAAATAAACAATCATTTTAAATGTCAGTGATGGATGCAATAAGATATGGAATGAAATTTGGAGTAGATTATTATATGAAATGGCAATTATCAACATCATCCGGATCATCAAATATATTCAAAGTCTTGTATAAAGATGCTATTTTGAGTGCTTTGTCCTATCATTCTACACAGCTTGTAGAACCAACTTGTGTAAAAGAAGAGAGTTCCTAAATAAATATTACTAGATTAGTTTTATAATAAGAATACCCATGACTCCTTTAATACATCTAGGTATCTCCCCATTCACTCTGTGTTGAAAGTTGCCATGTTGGACAAAGCAAGATAATTCAGGAAGGAAAACCAATATGTTGCTATGACTGTGTTTCATGTTCAAAAGATATGATTTCCAGCCAGATGGGTAAGTGACATCTTGCTATCTAACTTACTATATTAGTACTTAGTATTGTATACTAATTATGTTTGAACATGTATGTGAGATATCAATCAGAGGTTCATTTGTCTCATGATAGTTGTGTACTTACTGTATATAAACATATTGCTTTATAGGATAAAAATGTAATTTGTGGTCAGCAATATACTCTGAGGAGAAAAAGGATGAGAAGGAAAATATTAAACTCCTAGCTTTTCTCCAGGAAATGTAAAGACACATAATGATGTGGTTCACATGATAACAACAAAAAACAATGAGAAAAAAACTTAGCTGAGTTGGGAGAAACCTTGGATGCCTTCTAATCAAATCCCTGCTCAGGCAGGAGATCCTATACCATTTCAGACAAATAAAATACTGCTTATTCAAACATTGACCAGCAACATTTCAAAATGTACATTATATAAGTAAAATAAAATAGATGAATAACTATATTAGCATAAAAAGTCTCTCCATAATAAAGATTAATATACACTGCTATAATGGTGTATTAATTACCTGTGTAAGAGTAAAATATATATAATCTAAACCAAGATGATTAACATATAATAAATCTGAAGTGATAAATAAAAGATAATGGGTCTGTTCTGTGAACCGGTATAAATTACTGGGCTGAACAATTTAATATGTCAAAAAAGAGTATAAATGCCGGAGCTTCCGGTGGCGAGGCGCCGCCGAAGGAGGCTTTTTTCTTAGCCTCCAGCCCGGGACTGCGTCAAAGCCGTCAAAACAGTGCGGATCAGCTGTTTTGCGGCTCGGAACTTTCTCCCCGGGCGAAGGGGAGAAAGTGAGTTTGGTCTGGGTAGGGGTTGAGTTCCCTAGTCCCCCCAGGAGCGATCCTGGGGGGATGTAGGTGAGAACTCCCCCGGAGTCCGGACCTCTTCTCCGCAGCTCGGTGTGTCTTCGTTCCTGGAGCGAAGCCAGACGTCGCCGCCATTGCTGTTACATTGTATCTGCTTGTGAGTAACTTTTGAAACAGACGGAACCTGACAGGGGATCTTTATCTCTGTTAAAAGGTGACTTTAACTCGAAGATTTTATTGGGATTTTTGTTCTTGCTACAAGTAAAAGTGACAAGAAAATGGCCGTGGAAGCATTCCTTTTTTTTTTAACAAAAGGAAAACTTTCACTTTCTTTCCGGTCGTGGATGTACTTTAAAGGATTTTATTTAAAGTCAAGTTTTTTTTAAGTTTATACTTGCTGTGATTTTTTAAAAAAACAATTTGGCAGAATGGCTTCAAAACGTACTGTTCCTGCGTTGTCTAAAACAGCTATTTCTTCTCCTGTGGTGCAAACTCAACAACAAAAACCTAGATCTCCCCCACCAACACCTCCTCTATTACACTTAAAGATTTACAAGAGGCTTTAGCCAAGTCCTCATTGCAGACTCTGAAACAAACAGAAGAACTTTTGGATAAGAAAAATCAGGAACTTTGTGAAAATTTATCACATATTTTTCAAGGACTTGCAGCTCATATTGATCGGGTAGAGGGACGAGTGGATGAATTAATGGAGAAAATGGAGGGAACGGAGGATAGACTTGAAAAGGTAGAGGAAGGAGTGGAAACTTTTCAAAATGATATGGTAATGTTACAATATAACCAATTGGAATTTGCTCTGAGAATCAGGGGTCTTAGAGAGGACCCACAAGAGAAACTTAAAGAGGAAGTTGTGACGGCTTTGGCCCTGGTATTGAATTGCAACCCAGAGGTGATTTATGGAGAAATAGAAAAAAAATTTAGAGTAAACTCCTGGGTTGCACGTCAAAGAAATTTACCTAGGGATGTGGTTGTTTATTTTACTACAAGAGTATGTCGTAATGAAATTATACAGCTTTTTTATCAGCAGAGATTTCAAATTGCCACACAAGATATTATACTTTTAAAAGAAATACCTTCTAAGATTTTAAGAAGAAGAAAGGACTTTACATTTTTGACTCAGGAGCTAAAGAAGCGGCAGATACCTTTCAGATGGAAAATTCCTTTGGGTATTATATTAAATTTTGCAGGGACCAGACATAGATTAAACTCTGTTCAAAAAGCCAAAGATTTTTATTTGTTGGTCCTGAAAGCTGATATGTCACCATCATCGATACCTAAAGCACAGGAAGATCTGATGGAGCAACTTGTTGTGGAATTGCCTGGGGCCATGTCATTATCGGTAGAAGATCCTCAGAAGGAGCAAAGGATGACCCGTGCTGCTTATAGGCGTAAAGAGAGAGAGCAACAAAAAGAAACAGCTTCTATAACATATCCACAGCCTTCGGAGCCAGTGGGAGGGGCGAGGCCAAAGAGATCTGCAGCGACAGATATGCAAGGAATGCTTAGTAAACTTTGTAAGCCAAAAGATGGATAAATGCTGGAAGTGAGACTTTATGGAACAAATTAGTTTATTATATGTTTAAAAAATTAAGATTGGGATTTTATTTTATTTTTCCAGCTGTGAAGCAGGAAGTATTGACTTAAGATTTTATTGAAAGTATAGATTGGAGAGGGAAGAAAGTGAAGGGAAAATTTAAGTGTAAAATGTAAGGAAAAATTATGTAAAGTTTAAATGATGAAGGTGGATAGATTATATTTAGAGAAAGTATGGAGTGATTAAATGTTATATAGTTTTTGAGTAGATATATTGAATTTTAATTAATTTAATTTCCTTATTAGAGTTAAAGTAGGTATATACTGACAGCATTATATTTGCTTAGTTAAATTGTAATTTAGATTTGGAATGATGTGTTTCAATCCTGTATTTGGTTCCGGGAAGCTCGGGGGGGGGGGGAAAGGGGATTAGGGGTATTAAAAAAAATTGATGTATTCATATGTTATAGGTAAATAATAATTGTATTGATAAGAGGAGATGCTCGGCTGGTATCCTAAATTGCACTCGAGGAGGTGGTCTGGAAGAGGGGGGATGTAGAGTGGGAAGGAGGAAGGAGGAGAGGTTGTGGGCTAGAGGCAGGAAGGAAAGGAAAGTGGATGAGGGAAGAGGCAAGGTGGGGACTGCCGAGCGTTTCCGATAATGTATTGAGTTGGATTGGTTTTTTTATTTGTGTATACAAATGCATCATATTACTTATTGTTTAATTATAAAAAAATAAAAAAAATATTTTTTTAAAAAAGAGTATAAATGCCTATTATATTTATGTATATCCTCAACTTAACTTTTGAGAGGTATTATTTTTTTATTCTTTTGTTATTTATAATGTGTTGTTAATTCTCCCTCCTGTCCTCCCAGCCAACTTCTCTGTTTCCCTTTGAGCCAAACTATGCAATTTTTAAGCAACATATTTAACATTTCATGCTACTTATATATTTAAAAAGCAACTACTTGAATCTAAAGGAGAGAGAGGTGACATTTCACTGTATGGAGATACAAGTCACCCCTGTATCTACCAACCATATCCTCAAGCTGATGGAAGGAATGCCAACAAAGCAATTTCAGGAGAATCCTGTCCACATTCCCTGAAAGAAGAACAGTTCTCCCTTTGCTCACAGAAAGCAATAATAATTGAGATAGTAGGAGTGATTAAGAACCTTTCAGGAACTAGGACTACTGAATATAAAATTGGGCCTTTTAGATGAACTAAAATGATAGATAAAATGTTAGCCATTCCTGAAAATTAGGTTCTACTACTATCCTGACTCACTCAAAAAGTCTGTCATGCTAGGAGTGATGTGTGGAAAAAGGAGGTGAGACCCATCAGCTGGGCATGGGGATGACCATGGTGGATGTGAAGGAGGCGGTACGGTGGCCTCGGCGGTGGCCTCGGCGGCTGGCCTCGGCGGCTTCGGCGGCGGTGGCGGCGGCCTCGGCGGGGACGTAGGAGCGTGGGGCCGGCCGGACAGCTGTTTGTC